AACAGTTATTATTTGAAATAAGCTTTCACATTGATGTTCAAAAGTTCCCCCAATAAGCCCCAGTAAGTTGAATATTTTCTTTGTTCCTGTTCCCCCGAAGATCCTATAATCACTCTTCCTTCTTTTTTTCCTGTATATTTTCAAGTAGCCTGTTTGCAATTCATTATTCTTTCTTCTGTTAGATCTACTATAACCTTGGTGCCTTTATTGTGTTTTTAATTTACTTAGTGTATTAGTCACCTCAAAGATTTTATTTGGTTTTTAAAAAATTGCCTCCATGTTTCTGTCTTTATTCACATATTAAATCATTGCTCTGTTTTCTTGACACTCGATGAATTTCCTTAAACAACTGCTTCTGAGTTTTGACCAGAGAGTTACTATACAGCAAATAGTAATTTCTGACACCTTATTTTGAGTGCTAGGGGAGATCATAAATCTCCAAAAATTCTGATTGTTTGTCTGCAATGTTGTCTGCATATTGAAGTGTTAGGTATTTGCTCCTGCCTGTACAAGCTCCTGTGACTATGCTTCCAAGGCTTCTTGTTTTCCTAAGTCTATACTGTTACTTTAGCACTAGATGGCACTAATAAATTGTTAAAAGCCCACTGTCGGTGTGTTGTTACATTTCAGCACTAGAGGGCAATGCAAGCCCTGTTTTGTTCCAAATCCTAAATGGTATGTGGTACAGCATGAATCAAAGAAATATCTAAATGAGTCAGTCTGTTCCCCCTAGCCTCTCCCTTGGCTAAGGTAGATTCAGAAACCTTGTCCATAGTCCCTAACCTGTAGTTCTGCACTGTGGGAGTCTGCTCAGTTCTGGGATGAATTACTGTGGACTGACCAGCCTCAGGTGCACATGCCATGGGTTGGTACTTGCCTCCCTTTACTTGCACTAAGCTGAATTCATTCTCTCCACATCATGCTACCTGGAGCTTGGGAAGAACTGAATAGGCAGTTGTATGACCAATATTATAGCATTAGCTCACACCCTGAGCACATGGCCAAAGCTTATTGAGACCAGGGAGTACTGGTGCAAGTGTTATAGACTGCCTGCTGCTGAGGTGGACTCACGGCTCTAGACTGTTGCAACTGGCCACAAATGGTACCGACAGAAAGCCTTGGTGGCATGACTCTGTTTGGCACTGGAACTATTCAAGAGATTCTGATTGTAGGGGCCACTGTGATTTGTTCATTACTACGTTTACCAATATGTCACTAAGTTATAAGGCAAAGTCCTGTGTTTACATCATTTGTACCCCTAGCAAATAGATTCTTGCTCCCCACTGTGCTATATGAAGTTGTGAATAGTTTTGGTTAAGACGGTCCCTTCGCTTTCAAGACTGACACTAAACTGAGCTACTTAAGCCAGCTACAAAGATCTGCAGTCTCAGATCTATACTCAGGCCTGGAACGCAAATCTGTCCTACCAGGTTCAGGTCTCCATCAGATGCTGGAGAATACCTAGAGGCTTAGGCTATTAAGTTGGGATTAGGTAAGAAGTCTGGTTTTTGCCTGATGCTGAGTTTCACTGTAGCAAGAACTGGTACTGAGTACAATTCAAAGTCTTGTAACTTAATGTCCTCCTCCACAGTAAGAGGTCTTGTTCTTTTTACTGGTGCTCAAAGTTAGGGGAGGGATGGTGCTACCTTGGCTGCCTGCCTAACAAACAAGGCTGCAGAGTTTTAATCTCTGGGGCGAGGGTTGTCAGCCTTCTGCCTGGCATCTCCTGCCTGGCATTGGATTTCACTGTCATCAGCCTGGCACTGGGTTTCAAGTCAAAAGCCTTGCTTTTCTCCAAACAGGATGTGACTCTTTCTCTCCAGGCTGCATATTGTTTAAAGTTGGAGAAGGAACGGTACAGGCAACCCTTACCTTCTTATCTTTTCCAGTTATATTCTAAACCAGGCACTAATGTACTCTCTCCTGGCCCCTTCAGCTCCTGAAGATGTAGTGTGGTGCATGAATATCTACTCAAATTGCCTAGAAGGCGATTGCTAGTGAATCTTAGTCAACATCCTGCTCCATGTCTCCATTCTATGAAATGTAGTTAAGTGTTCTGATGGGCTGAGGTTGATTTTAAGACAAAGGACAAAAAAAGCAGAAACAAAGATTGATCATTTCAAAGTTTCTTTTTTTAAAGGTGAGAATAGTGAGACAGAATAGAAAAATTCCTAATTGGTTATTAATCTGAAGTTACTTTAGGGCACTGCATTTGCATAAGGACTTTCTCATCGCACCTATTAAAGCTAGCCTGTTTGGGAAGTTTAGCTGTCTCTAATTCTCCTGGTTTGTTGGTTTGATGACCTGTAGCTTTAGCATGGGTGGCTCTCTCTTATCTTAGTTTCATTTGTTGGGACCCAGTGAAGGAGCCTGGTCCAAAGCAATGGCCTACCATAATTTGTATATGACAGTTCAGATTTAAATAAGTCAGTTTGAGCGTCTATGGAACACAAAGGGAAGTTGAGTAGGCAGCTCATGTCAGAGGTCTGGATTAATAATATAAATTAGGATTACAGCTAGAAATTGATATCCACGTAGCAAATATGTAGGGAGACAATGAAGAATGAGAAGGGAAAGCAAAGGAAGGAAAACTAATCTAGAGTCTTGGGGGACACTCATGAGCTAAAGGGAAAGTTGAACAAAAACATCCAAGTTACAGTGGCAGAAGGATCACAGGGAAGGCAGTGATAGAAGCAAAGAAAAGGAGTGTTTCTAGAAGGGTTCCATGGGGAGCTAAGTGGAATGCTATTCTAATCAGTGACTGAGGTAAAGACCAAAGCACCGACAGAATTTGGCAGCGTGGAAGTAAATGTCCTCAATGCAAAATCTAGACCACAGTGGACAGGAATGTGAGAAAACTGAGACACAGTCAGGATTCTCTCAAGAATTTTGTTTTCTGAACTCTCTGTCTTCTGTTTTCCAATTGTGTTTTTGAGCACGTATGTCCTTGTCTTATATACTACCTATGTCTGGGTCCTTTATGGTATGGTTATTTATGTTCGGAATATTTGTTAGACATCGATAACGTGTAGCTCTTTCAGTTTTTGTTTAATGCTTAATTTAATGTTGCTTTTGGTACATCTAAGATTTATATTTGTATGGGCTAAATAATTTTCCTTCATGATTCCTCCAGTGCTCCTCTACCTAGAAATTGCAAATATTCATCTTTATGTTATTTCTGAGACATATGTAGTATCACTACATTTTTTAAAGGATTTAGGAATTTATTTTGGTAATTCAGTTCAAGGCTTGGTACCCTTTTCTTTAATGCCCTGTTGCAAGCAGTAAGGCAAGTCCGGGGATGATCTGCTCAAAATTTTAAACAATGACTCTGATTTTTTATGGTAGAAGAAAGCTCTTCTTGACAAAGAAAATGAAATTTGAGTTAAGCATACAAATTGTGTAGTAGTTCTTGCATAGATATCCTGGCTCTGTGTTAATATTGCATTGCACATACTCTTTACAAGACACAAGTTTCAAATTTTTCTTTCATATTCCCAGTTTCCTGTGATTCCCAGAATTACATCATCTGATTGCCATCCTAGACAGTACTCTCATGAGGACCAAGGATCCCAAAACCATCCCGCCATACGGTATTACAGAAAATGCTCCATGGATGGGTCATTCCAGGAGCCTCTGGAATCAAAAGGAGGATCTCATCCTAAATTACAGGAAGTTTCAGAGTCTTTTGAACAGAAACTGTGCCTTAGAATAACACACTCTGCCTCTTTGGTATATGATAGAACAGAAATATTGACTATTTAAATCACTTTAGGAAAGGAAGTCCAAAGATTCTGTCTTCTTTAAGTTTGAGGAGGACAAGTCTAACTTCCTCACCCAATTTTGGGGGAGCTGGAGAGATGGCTCAGTGGTTAAGTGCACTGGCTGCTTTTGCAGAGGACCCCAGTATTCGTTGTGTTTATGATGTGAAAATCTTTAGAACATACCAGCAAATAGATTCAGAAATGTGTATACAAATATATACATAATAAGTAAAAATGGGACTGGAGAGATAGCTCAGTGATTACGATCACTGGCTGTTCTTGAAGAGGACCGGGTTTGATTCAAAGCACCCACATGATGGCTAACAACCGTCCATAACTCCAGTTCCAGGGAATGCCTTCTTCTGACCTCTCCAGGCATTGCACGACATGGGTGCACCGACCTACAAGCCATACACTCATACACGTAAAATAAAGATAATAAAATATTTTAAAAAAGAAAAAGCCACTCAATTTTTAAATAACTCAATATTAAATATCCTATTTCATATCAGCTTTAAGCAGAGTATATTATAAAATGTATCAGTCTAAAATATAAAATTTAAAATTTAAAACATAGATTCTTTTAACTTTTTTCTACATAATAATCTGTATAGTTGCCTAAAGATAGTTACATTAAATACTGAAATTTGCTAGTAAATTTTAAAATGTATATATTAAATAGTAGAGTTGGTCAGTAAATTTATGTCCATATATACAGTACTCTCAAAGTATGGGTTTTAGTAAAGATGCCAGAATACCAAAAATCTGTGGATGCTGAAGTCTCTTTCATAGTATTTCCATAAAACAGATATATGTGTTTCTGTGTAAACTATCGCTAGATTACTTACAATGCTTCACACATGTACAAGCTATGTGTATAGTTGTTATACTGTACTGTTTATGCAATAATAATAAGGAATACCTTTGTACATTTTCAGTATAAACACATTTTTCTCTTAATATTTTTGATAATTTTTGGTTGAATTCACAGGTGTGCAGCCCATGGGTCGAGAAGGTTGACTGTGCTATCTTTTGTTTGAAGACCAAATATTTGCTAAGATGTAGATTTCATTGTTTTACAAATATGAGCATTGACAGAGCCAGAAACTGTGTTTGCTCCTTACTAATTAACTTACTTCCTTTCCTTCCCCCTCTCCCTTTTTCTCCACACCCTCTTCTTCCCCCTCCTCCTCCTGTTGTCTTTCCCTCCTCTTCTTTTTTGAGATAGGGTCTTGCTATGTGCCTCAGGCTATCCTAGAACTTGCTACATATCCCAGACAGGCCTCAAATACTTGATTTTCCTGCCTCAGCCTCCCAAGTCCTGGAATTATAAGAATATGTGAACATACTTAACCAAATTCTTCCATTTTGTTATTAAAAACTCAATTTTGATACCTAAGTAATGAGATAAAATATATAATTCAGGTAATTATTTTTCATATTTTAAACACCTTTATTAAAACATAACTCACTCACCATAAAATTCACTCAAGTAAAGGGTATGAGGCAGTGGACATATCCATATTGCATCAGCTGTGCCATAATCACTATTAGTCTAATTATATTTTCAATTTATTGTTAATTTTTACTAAACTTTTTTAGTATTTGTGAATTTCAACATCTTATGCTTAGATCAAGTTCACCCCCATTTCCTCACCTCCAACTCCTCCTTTATCCCCCACCACATTCCCCTCCCAAGCTCATGTGCTCTTTCTCTTTTTCTAACCCACTGAGTCAACTTCATGTTACCTGTGTGTGCATGGGTGTTAGACCACGTCAATAGCTTCTCAGCTAGGGATGGGATGCGTGAGACTCTCCCCCATCCATGTTGGGATTTTGACTGGCTTGATCTGCGTGCAGTTATAGCCACTGTTAGTTCATTATTGATGTGTATTTTTCAGATAATCCAATCTCAGAAATGGGAGATGATCATCACTGTATTTCTTTTGTTATATTGCTCTGGTATCAGAGACATTCATGCCTGCTAACTGAATTGTGGTTACATAAATACAAGTGATGAATCTAATGAAAAGCCTCTGTAAATGCTTTCACAGAGCTGCACCAATTTTTAAGTTTCTCTTAAGTTTTTTTTAATCTCAGATTCATTATATATTTTTCTTTCTGACTTTAATGACAATCACTTTGGATGGAAACAAAGCAAATTTGTTTGTTTACACTGTAGGGTAGCTAAGACAACTGCATTAACCAGATGCCTCCTAACTCTCCAGTGGCAGAGCTAAGGCATGTCATGTGACTGTCACTCAGTGTATATTTTTTCTATATGCACTCCACTCCTAATTTTCCAGTTCAAACAAGAAGGAGGAACAAGGAATCTGTGTATTTGTTATGTAAATACAAATGCTTACAGAGATATGAGAGATATGGCAGTTATCCATGCCATTGTTTTACTAAGCAATTCCTTTGAAAGGCACTCCCTGAGCATCAAAGTTAAAGAGCCCTCCCCTAATAACCCCATATCCTGGCACTCCATAGTAGTGATCATTGCACCATTGGGTATTTTTCATTTCCCTTTAGGCTTATTTATTGATGGTCAGTTGGTCTCTCTCCATGCAGGTGGACTAGCAAAAAGATAGAGTCTATTTACTGCTATTTCTTTGATCCTAAAACAACAATATGTGTTAATAAATCAGTAAAGTACTGTGCATGCCATGTACCAGCCTCAATTTAAGTCAATCTGTTGAGGAATAATAATTTGGTTAGATAATCTTCTCTTTCCCTCTTTTCTTTTTTTTAATTGAGCTTTTAAAATTTCATACATTTCCCACTCAAATCAAGACCCCCTCCCCCATCCATGCCTCCCCCATCCCCGCCACCGAACCCTATGCACTCTGCCAAACATGCTGAGTCCTATTCATTCAGGTGCTTGCACCCAAATGTCCTTCAGTGTAAATGCATCCACTGGAGTCTAGTCAGCACATCCAGTGGTCGTATGTAAGTCATACTCTCCCTCATCCAGCAGCTCCAGTCTCAAATAATTCTCAATCTAGTTCTGGCCCTCCACCTATTTCTCACCCCCCTCTTTTGGCCTTTATTTAATTGAGCTGACATGTGTCCTGAGTTCAACACCACCACTGCCACAGGCTCACATGAGCAAGCCTCCAGTGGCCTGGAAGCCTCCACCTCTTTATGTTCATAAACCAGCCCTGGCTCTTACAATCTTTCTGCCTCCTCTTCTGTAATGGTCCCTGAGCCTTGGGTAGGTGAGATTCCATATTTCCATGTAAGAGTCCCATCCTACACTCTACAGTCTCTTATTCTCCAAAACTTGGACAGTTGTAGCCTTCTGTATGTATCCACTCTGATGTACATGGAAGCCTCACTGATGAGAGTTGAGGGGTGCCCTCTCTCTACCCCTTATTCTTCTATGTTCCATGAGCCTTGGTTGTAGAGATTTGATTGCAGATGTGTCATCTAATGCTGGGCATCTCCCAGGTATATGTTCTCTGTGCCTGACCAGATGTGCAACTCTGCAGTAGCCCCCATCTGTTGCAAAAAGAAGTTTCTTTGATGAATGCTATATGGCATGTTTGTCACTGTAAGAGAGGTCTCTTCTATCTGGCACTGCATTCCCTATCAAGCAGCTCCTAGGCATACATATGCATTAATGTTCAGACACTCTACTTGCATTTTTCATAGGGTTTCTAGGGTGGATACCCTTCTTAAATACTTCATTCTTCGCACAGTCCTTACATTAAAATTTAGTGAAAACCCCAACATTAATGCAATATAGCAAAATTAATAGACTCCTAGAACTTCTTGCTATGGAAAATGAGATCACAGTTGGCATGATGCTAACCACTCCATGCTCATTTACTTATATTGCATTAATGTTAGGGTTTATGTTCATTTATTCCTAGAAAGTAAGATGTGGAAATTTTCTATAACATCAAAGCTTTTCTTCCGTCTGAACGATGGGGAAATGTGGGATATAGCCAGTTGCTGGTGCATTTTACCCTTTTCTCATGCTCTTTCAGGGACCAAAGAGCAGAAAGGAGAGAAGAGAAAGACAATGCCTAGGAACTGAAATGAAATCCCACAAGAAAATGGAGGACAGAAGGAACTCAATGAAGGAAGCACACAAAGATGCACACCTGGCTCCCCTGGCTGAAAAGGGGCCAGAATAGCGCTTTGTTTCTACTTTGCAGTGACAGATGCCACTCATCATTCTGAACCCCAATTCTCCACATCGGGATGTTAGAATGACAGCTGCAAAAGGGCGATCACAGATGCTGAGAATGAAGTGGGCAGTTGGAATAGCTGCTTCTCAAGATGACTTGTATCATTCTCCAGTGGCTTCTGACTATTTACTTGAAAGTGTAATTGCTTTTTTTGCCCTTCTATGGGAATAAAAAATAAGATATTTTAATAGGATAAAAGAATTTCTGAAATTGTAAGGTGTGGCTTATAAAGAACTACCCACACTTTTCATCAACACTTCTTCCGTATCAATCCCCCAGATTATCATAAATAAAAGTCATTATTGTCTCTAAGTTTACTTCCTTATTCAAACTAATTTTATGTGTGTCTAATGGCCATTACTTAATGAGAACTGGTAATTAACATGCCAAGTATTACCCTGAATCCTTCAATACAGTACCTAAAATAATCTTTACAACACTAAAGTGATACCTTATGTGAGGGTTCTCCAAAATATAGAGCCAAAGGCTATATATAGTATGTTAGCTTTCTTGTTGCTATAACAGATTGTGTGGCATAAACAACCCTGTATTTGTTTCATATTTTATGAGGTTTCAGTCCCTAGTTTAAGTCTACACTGAGAAAGCATTGTGGAACAGAGTCTACATCATGGTGCCAGGAAGCATATTGAGACAAGGAATAGAGCAGACAGAATTTGCCCTTTAAAGACACAGCCCTAATGATCTGCTACTTTCAGCCAGGCCTCACCTTTCAGTTTTCATCACCTCTGAAAATAATATCAACAGCTAGGGACAAAACATCCACCATGAGCTTGTGGGAGATATATCATCTTCAAACCATTGCATAGGAATACATAAGATTGAATTTACTATGGGAAATGGCACACATAATTTTGTAGGCTGAGAAGTTTCATGATGGGATGTTTGCAAACTAAAGAATCAGGTACTATGGTCAGGCTAAGTCCCAAAGGCCTTAGGACCAGGGAAGCTTCTGGTATAACTTTCATTCTGAGAACAAGAATAAGGACCTGAGGTGGAGGGGAGGGGGGGTCAAAGAGACTGGTGTAAGTCTCTGAGTCCAAACAACTGAGACCCTAGAGTTTTGATACCCAAGTCAGACAAGATTGAAGAACCTGACTTAAATGTACTTTAATTTTTCTACTGTGGCTCCCTTAAATGCTTCATGGCCATACCAAAATGCTGACCTGACAGTGGCTACAACAGGCACCCCATGACTGATCAGGGTCTTTTGTTTTGACTGTTGCAAACTTGATTACAAGTTTCAAGTGACTCTGCACCAATATTTCTCTAAAGAACTTCAGACATTCCCCATTAGGTATGAAAAGAGTACCTCCCTTTCCCAGAGACCTTGTACATTCATGAGCTCACATTTTCCTATATAAGAAGCAGGCTGCTCACCTTCAAGGAGTCAGTCTGTGCATTGTAGCTCCTGAGGCTAGAGTACAAGTCTTGATCAAGCCTCTCTTGGATGTTTATGTTTTGCCTGTTCTTGATTTTTATCTCAAGTAAAGCAGGTTGAGCTGGTGACACTAGCTGCTGCTGCCCCAGGGGCCATCAGCCATAGCTGATAACACTAAAGGAGGCACTCCTCACTTTTTTGTTATTTGTATCCAAATTGAGAATCCTTGGCTGACTGGCTACACATGGGGGTTTGGGGAGGCTCCAGCCCTCTGAGAGAGCAAATGTTCTTTCCTTGCCATTTTTTGTTATAGGGACCCTCAGCGGAGTGGATGACATTCACAGGGTAAGAGCAGATTCTTCTCTTGGCCCAGTGACTCAAATGCCAATCTCTTCCAAAAACAGGTAAACCCAGAAACAAAGCTTATCTAGCATCTAGGTATCCTTTTATCCAGTCAAATTCATACTACATACTGTCACAGGCTTATTTCCTTTACTCCATGGTTGAGAAAACTGAAGTTGAGGAAGGTTCTGTGGCTTGTGGTGTGGAATAGAGTTACAGCCCCCATTCATTTACTTTCATGACAGTGTTCATGCTCCTCACATAAGGTAGGACCTCCATTACCCTGTAGAAACTGGTAGCTACTTGGCATAAACATATGTGCATGTGAATGATAGGATGTGAGAGAAACAGGTGGGGCAGGTTGCTAATATGGTTATGTTGGTAAGGACCAACTGTCTAAGGCCAGCTTTATGTTCTGGACTTGAGGTTTATGAGACTATATTTTATCACTATTCTCTCTAGGAAAAAATAAAAGGTTCTTCATCTCTCTAATCTTTTCCTCTAATACTTCATTCTTTTGTTTCTGACTTGGATCTTCAGATTCCCAAGGGTAACTTGATTCTCCATTCTATAAAGAAGGAACTCTCCCAAATCTAGTACTCTTTGCCAGTGTGGTAGTTGGTCGTTTACTCAAGACAATAACCTTACAAAGAGAATGAAAGAAGAAGGAAAATGGGTCAAAAAATAAGGAAAAAAATCAAACATACTGACATTTGTTTGATTTTTATACAACTATACTTTCATTTGTTCAGTATTAATATCATCATGAAGTCTTTTAAACATACTTTTTCATATATGTACACACATATATATACATATATATGTATATATGGATGAAGGATAACATCAAGCATATGGTAAACACTGCCACCATTGAGGGGCATGATAGGGCCTCATCTATCCAGGAGGTCTGTTTTATACTGAGTCATAGGTAAGATCATTATTTCCTGCTCTGGCTTTGACTACTTTTCAGTCTTGTGAATGAAGTTTCAGATTTGTTCATCTATTTTGGTCCCTGTTCTAGTCACTTTTTCTGATGCTAGAATAAACCACTCTAACCAAAGGCAACTTGAGGAAAGGGTTTATTTCATCTTCCATCTCCCAGGTCACAGTCCATCACTGAATAAAATCAAGGCAAGAACTGAAAGCAGGAATCTGGAGACAGGAGCTGAAGTAGAAACCATGGAGGAATGCTGCTTACTGGCTTGCTTTCCTCTGGCTTATTCTACTACCTTTTTTTATACAGTACAGGGCCACTGGCTTAGAGGTCTCATGGAGGGCTGGGCCCTTACTCACCAACTAACAATTAAGAAAATGGCTTATAGACATGGCCATAAGTCAATCCTGGGCATTTCTTCAGTTGAGGCTCCCTTATCCCAGATGACTAGATTTGTGTCAACTTTACAAAAACTAACCAAAACAATTGACCCCTTGTCATATTGACACACAAAAATATCATTATAAACTATACTCTTTTCAGTTCTCATCCTCAAGATCTCATGTTAACATCACAATATGAAACACAGTTCAATTTCTAAAGGTCCCACATTCTTTAAAAATTCTTTCACTTCGAAGTCCAATGTCTCTTTAAAAATCCAAAAATCTCTTAACTGTTGGCTCATGTAAAAATAAAAGAAAATAAGGTATATGCTTTCTTATTTCAAGAGGGAAGAACCAGGGCAAGATTACAATCAAATTAAAGTAAAACCCCAAATCTAGCAACATAATAACCCAATGTCTAGTATCTGGAACTTGTTCATAGTTGTCTGGACTGCAAAGGGCTTGGGCACCTCCAGTTTTTGAGCTCCGACATTTGAAACACATGTACAGCTTGTCGTGAGGCGTAGGCCAGCTCCACACCACATATGTTACTGTCCTTGGTGGTCATCCCAGGGTCCTGGCATCTCCAATAAGCTGGGGTCTCTACTGTGACTGAGGTTGCACCTTCACCAATGGTTTCCAAGCCTCTCTGCAGGGATGTCAACACTGACACTGATGCCAAACTTCAGGTTCATGCCTTTAAAAGCAGTACCAGCCTACCCACTGTACATCCTAGGACTGCATGACTCCTGAGACCTAGACCTCAGGTAGGTAAGTACTCCCAGAGCTCATCTGCTCACCTGCCAACCATTCCAACTTCCAGGGGATCTCATGGCATCTACAATTTAAAAAAAAATTAAACATCAAGAAAACAAACAACTCAAATGTTGGGACAAGAAACTAAACAGAGAGTTCTCAAAAATAAAATACAAATTGATGAGCAACATATAAATGAATATTCAACATCCTTAGTCATCAGGGAAATGCAAATTTAAACTACTTTGAGTTTCATCTTACTTCAGTTAGAATGACTAAGATCAAAAATCAAATGACGAAAAAATGCTGGCATGGATGTGGAGAAAGGAGAACTCTTATTTACTGCTGCTGAAAGTTCAAATTGGTGCAACAGTTACTGAAATCAGTTTAGAGATCCCTCAAAAACTACAAGCAGATCTATTGCATGATGCAGCTATATCACCCATGGGCATATAGCCAAAGGACTCCATATTCTACTACAGAGATACCCACTCATCCATATTTATTGCTGCTCAATAGTCAAGAAATAGAAACAGCCTGAATGTCCATCTAGCCTAGATGTTCATGGATAATGAAAATGTGGTAAATTTGTACAGTGGCATATTATTTAGCTGTTAAGAAAAACTGAAACTGGGCCAGAGGATGGATCAGCTGTTAAGAGCACTGACTGTTCTTGCAGAGGACCTGGGTTCAATTCCCAGCACCCACTTGGCAGCTAACAACTGTTTGTGACTCCAGTTCCAGGGTATCTGATGCCCTCTTCTGACCTACTTGGGCACTGAATGACACAGGTGTACATGCACACATGCAGGCAATATACTCATACACAGAAAATAAAAATAATAAGGTAAAATATAAAAAAGAAAAAAATCAAATTATGAAATTCACAGGTAAATGGGTGGACCTGGAAACAATTATCCTGGTGAGGTAATCTGGAACCATAAACCATAAAAACAAACATCACATATTTTTCTCTCATATGCGGATGCTAGTTAGACATGTGTTTCATCTGGTAATCCCATAGAGGTCAGGAAACTAGTAAGGTACAATGGGATGAGGGACTTTCAAGAGAGGCAAGAGAGAATGCAATGATATAAAGGGGGAAAGGAGAATAATGGAATAGGAAGGGTTAAGTTGGGTGGGGGATGGAAAGATAGAGTAGAGGAGGAGTATGGGAAGAGGTAAGTAACACTAAATGCCTTTAAAAAAGTCATATGGAAAACTACTGCAGAAGCCTTCTAAAATATATATGATTATATATATATATATATCCCTACCAGACACCATAGGCTAGCAAATAAAAATCCCAGGACCAAAGTTGCCTCTTTTGGACTCGTTGACCACAGGGCTCCATAGACCCCCTCCCAAACACTATTTGATATTGCTATTGCTCCTTATTACTGTCCAGAACTTGACAGTAAGATCTTATTGGTGAAGAGACCACATACTCGAGAGG